TCACTCAGGACAGTGCGGTGCTGGGAGCACAGCAGCGCTCCCACCACGGGTTCGGATCCTATATAGGGATGGCCGGTGCACTCACTGGCTGAGCGCGGTGCAGGCGACACCAAGCCAAGGGTTATGATCCCCTTACCGGTCACAAAAAAGAAAAGAAAAACAACCTGTGGAAATATATGGTAGTCAATGTGTCCCCATTGTTGGATCAAAACTTACTAAACCAACTCCAGAAAGCATATAGAGTGTGCCATGGAGGGGATTCTGAGCAGTGTTACCTCCTTTCCCTGTCTTAAGCTTCTGGCCCCAGGGTCATGTAGAATCAACACCGTTGGGTCTCCTCTAACTCTCCTCCTGCCCCATGTCTGCCCAAAACATGCCTACACCTGGTTCTACCCGCATCACCCATCACAAAGGCCTCCAGTCTGGATGCAGATCCATTCATATATGAAGATGCTGGGAGGAAAAATCTCTCTATAGATTGGTATGTTTGGGATGGACAGAAGAAACCCTTCCAAACACGAGACTAGGATCAAGCTAGTGCTAATTCACCAACAAGGTGCCCTGAAGTCTCTGGCAGCAACATCTTCTCACATCTTCTCAGAAAGTTTGTTCTTGATCCAGTGACCCCTTCACAACTGAATGATGCTCAATGCCTTTCTCAGTACGTTTCCAGAATATCAAGGCTGCCTTCAAAGTTAAAATCTTGAACGAAATCCTGTCCTCTTTTTTAATATGGTGTGATGTCTTAGCTCTTTATGTTTTTAAATTAGTTTTGCCTCAGATGATGCCCTCTGGATCAGGCCTATGGCGCTTGAGATAATCTATATCTCTCTTTATCTCTCATGTATACACACTACTTGAAAGAAAACTATTGTAGAACTCAGAGGGGAAAAAGCACCATGAATCTGTGGCTTCCACTCACTACAGGAAAGACAGCCTTGAATCCAAGTTTATGATTCACTCCAAGCTGATGCAAAATGCTTGCTTTCTGAGATTTTAGCTGAGTCTTACTATTGGCAACTTAAACAGCCAAGCCAGCACTGCCAGAAGTAAACACAGTTGATGTTAGCCTTAAAAATTGTCTCTTGTGCAAACAAAGTTTGAGGTGAGTCATGCAAATAGCAAAGACTGGCAGGTGAGGAGGTGCGACCCTGTACAATGTGGGGAGAAAAACAGGAGATTCTGATGAAATACCCATACTTTTAAGAGTTACGAGACTGGTATGTCTGGGTGCATTGCCTTGCCGCTGAAGTGATGTTCAGTAAATTCTGAACCCCTCTTCGCCAAGCAACAGCAGTCCCTGTTCTTATCACTGAGGCGTGTGTTGAGTTCATTTGAGAATGTCGCACTGACAGTCAAACCACAGAATCTTTCAGGATGTCAAATCCAGGCTCTTCCACATAACTTGTGACTTCAATTTCTGTTTCACTGGAACCAGCTTTCTGCAAAACAAATCATCCTTCCTTAGA